TGAGGCTGACAGATAAAATTATTTCAAGATAAGAGCCAGGCGCCAGGACTGCCAAAATGAAATAAATAAATATATCATAAAATAATTAATTAAATGTGTCAATAATTAATTAATTAAATGTGTCAATAATTAATTAATTACATGTGTCATAACTATTTATTTAATTAATTATTGCCACATTTAATTAATTATTGCCACATTTAATTAATTATTTAATGGTGTATTTAATTAATTCATTATGGCAGTCCTGGCGCTCCATAATAATATGTTTGGTGTGGAAATATTTCAAACAGCGACCATATAAAACAGAATCCCTATTAAGAGATTTTTATGGTAGCTTCACAGTGCTTTGTACAACTGGGATTTCTGACTTTTAGTCCAATGGTATAAAACAAAATAAATAAATAAAAAATCTCACCTCAGATTTTCCAATGTACAATGTAGACTCTGCAATTCTGCAAACAGAAACATCACTCTAGAATCCTTCAGATCATTGTTACTCAGGTCCAGTACTCTCAGGCTAGAGGACTGAGAGCTGAGAACTGAGGACAGAGCTTCACAGCTTCTCTCTGAGAGGTTACAGCCACTCAGTCTGAAAAACAAATTGTACTGGAATGAAATCACATTATTTGTTGAACCAAGACAACAAAATAAATATGTTCATGTGCAATGTTTAACAGAAATAAAAAAAAAAAAACATTAACAGCTTTAAAAAATAAGCTTCTTCGGTTCTGAAGAAGCTTCTTTTTGATTTCTGATTGTGACCCACACCTGTTTTCACACCGTGGCTCATGTGATTAGGTAGAGGATCATTAGAGGGTCCTTTGTCCCTCTCAGTGGGTTACTCCCACAGAGTTAAAATCTGGGACTCTCAACCATTTGACCCTAGAACTGAAGAAGCTTCTCGGATGAGAGGTAAAACGTTTTCAATCAACTTAAAGAAGTCCAGACGCTTTTCTTTCCAAGCTCCTTAGACTACGATGACCTGGATGACTGATAACTTTCACAGACGGTAGATTTAGTGGTACTACCTCTGTACGTGCTGGCACAGGCATAAAGTACTGCTGGTCTGTTTCCTAATTTTGTTGTCTGTCAATAAATACAGTTCAAATGATTCCTTATTTATCATATCTAAAATAAGCCATTTTATCTCCTTCCCCTTTTAGTTCACCCTTCCTCAGAAAGACCACTTTATTTTGATTGGCCAGTTTCAGGAAGCATACTGCATTTAAAAGTCACTTCCAATAAAAAGGTGTTTTTATGGCAGCTTCCCAGTAAAACGTGCTTTGTACTCCTGCTAAGGATTTTGACAACATTTAGCCCAGGTGTCAAAAACAAAAAAAGAAAAAAAAAATCTTACCTCAGAGTTTCCACTGTACAATGTGGACTCTTCAGTTTTGCAGACAGAAGCTCAACTCCTGAATCCTCCACATTATTGTTACTCAGGTCCAGAGCTCTCAGGCTAGAAGGGGAACTGAGTACTAAAGACAAAGCTTCACAGCTTCTCTCTGAGAGGTTACAGCCACTCAGCCTGAAGAAATATTTGTAATCAAACAAAATCACTTTCTATATTAAACCAAAGCAAACAAAAAGAAAAATGCTTATATGCAATACAAGTAATTTAACATTAACAAAAACATAAATGCAATGCATTTGACATCTGGAAAAATAACAACAAAACACATTTGAATTTTCTTGGTAAAAATAATAAAAATGAAAATATCAAAAAAAAAAAAATTATACCTCCATATTGACATGAAAAGCATTAAGGAGCTTCGTGGTTCTACCTCTGTACCTGCTAGCACAGGCATAAAGTACTGTTGGTCACTTTCCTAATTTTAATGTGGATTAAATACAATTTCAAATTGATCCTTATTGATTACAACTGGACCTTATTTACAGTTCCTCAATTAATTATTGATCTCAAATCAGCAATTTTACCTCCTTTCAAAAAAGACCATTTTAATTTGATTGGCCAGTTTCAGGAAGCATGCTGCTCCACCTTCTCTGCCTTCTGATGTATAGAGGTTGTAAAAAAAAAAAAAAAAAAAAAAAAAAAAAAAGTAAAAACCTATAAACACGATTTCTAACTGATGACTGGAAATTAAATCTCAACAAAGATGACATTAGCATAGAGGAATTTTGGCCCTTTGTGAAAAAGTAATTGCCTACACCACACTGTTTGAAACACCACTTTTTTCATGCACTCATTGGCAGTTATTGAAAACCTAATAAACTGTGGCAGTTTATTAGGTTTCGAGGAAATTACCTTTGTTTTTTTTATTTTTTTTTAATTAATTAATTTATTTTTTTTGTCAACACAGCATTTGGATAGCTTTGTTCCCTTGATAATTTAAATCATCATGTAAAAAACATTTTGCAGTTACTTGGGTTAATTTTCCTAGTATTAAAATGTGTTTGATGATTTGAAACATGTAATTGTGATAAAGCTACAACACAAACAGAAATCAGAGAATTATTTATAACATTGTAGTTACAGTTTGACATCAGCTATCCACTAGAAATGAAGAATGAAAGACTTAGAGAAAAATCAAGAGTGAAAAAACATAAGGCAAGGAAACCTGAAGAAGGTTCCTGAAGGATTAGACTGGAGCTGCAGTACATTTTGTTTAACAGTAAAATAATATAAAGGAGGATTACTCCAAGTGCTTTTGGGATGAACCAAACATGACAGTCTTTTTTTTATTATTCTTTCATTTGTATTTGTTTTTGAGCATTAAGAATCAGTTAGAATGAGGCCACCATATGCTGGTTCAGAATGGTTCATTAATAAGTGTTACACGCATAAATGTTTCAGAAACACTAACACCGTTTCCTGACATGAAGCATAAATATGACATACTTTATGACAAATACAGTTAGTCATTTCATTTAACAGTTTAGGAGCAAATATTGGACAGTTTTAGGTTTTAAATTGTCAATGCTTATTTTTTTAAGTAGAATACATTTTTTAAATATGACAAAAAGACTGATCACATATTTACTTACAGAGCTCTGTTGGAGGCTTTGACCACTGGCAGCAGCCTCAGAAGAGCCTCCTCTGAAGCAGAGTATTTCTTCAGGTCAAACACATCCAGATCTTTTTCTGATGACAGTAAGATGAATACCAGAGCTGACCACTGAGCAGGAGACAGTTTATCTGTGGAGAGACTTCCTGATCTCAAGGACTGTTGGATCTCCTCCACTAGAGAACGATCATTCAGTTCATTCAGACAGTGGAACAAATTGATGCTTTTCTCTGAAGACAGACGGTCGCTGAACTTCTTCTTGATGTACTGGACTGTTTCCTGATTGATCTGTGAGCTACTTCCTGTCTGTGTCAGCAGACCTCGTAGCAGAGTCTGATTGGTCTGCAAAGAAAGACCCAGGAGGAAGCGGAGGAACAAGTCCAGGTGTCCATTTGGACTCTCTAAGGCCTTGTCCACAGCACTCTGGTGGAGAGATTGTAGTTTTTGAGTATTAAGTAATTTAGACCACAGGGACATTTTTTGTTGTTTATCGAGCAGATTGAGTCGAAAGTTGATGAAGGTCAGATGGACATGAAGAGCAGCCAGAAACTCCTGAACACTCAGATGGATGAAGCAGAACACCTTGTCCTGGT